ATTCATTCCGGTAGTCTTTTCATGCGTTATTGGATGTTCAATTGGCTGTCAAGTATGGTATTCGGTATTATTATTGTTCTATTTACAACAAATCTGGGACCTTTCGGAAACTCTATATTAACTATTTTTATCATGCTGATGCTTGCTGGTTCTACACTACAATTAGCTCTTGAACTTTCACATCCTTTTTATCGTTATGGTTATGGATTACCACTTTATCATATTATAAATGGTGGCCGACATCTTTTATTTAATTCATACTCAAATTTTCGTCTTAATGTTGGTGTGTTGCTCGCCTATTTTAGTACCCTATGGCTATTAGCATTTGGTACGGGAATTTTTTGGATTAAAAGACAACAAAAAAAGGCTGCTCAACAAGTTCAACAAGTCAAAACTGAAAAACAATAACTTCTGTCGTTCGACGTTAATAGACCTATATATTTAGAATTAGACATATATCTAACATTCTTTCCTCTTACTATTTACTAACAATGTATCATCGTATCTAAACTTATAAAAACTTAAATTATTCGTAGAATTTATTAACTAAAAATCTTTACAATTCATATTAATTTATTTTTCATAATATCGAACTTTGATTTGCCCCAGTGAAAAATAATCATTGAAAATAACGATATAGAACACGTTCCAAAAAAAAGTCAGCTTTTTCTTGAAGAAAAAACGGGCATTTATTTTTCTGGAACGCGTTCCCGATAATTACCATCTACATGCACATTCCCTATAATAATCCTCAAAGAGAAGTAAGTACAAGATTCGTCGAGAGACCTCTTTTAATGCAACTTTACGAGTTCTTTCCAGTGGCTTGCTCAGACTTTTCGTAGCTTAAACTACAGAAATTATGACATAAAATATTTTTCTTGAAAATTGAGTTTGTCAACTAGGAAGTACAACATATCGAATAATTTTCCATTTTTTATGTTAATTTTAATCTATCGTACTTCAGCACAAGTAGTTCTCAACCAAAACTGGCGTAAAATTTAGATGAAAATGTTTCACAATTTAGAGAACGGCGACGGATCCGTTCTACTCTTGCTAGGAATAATCACAGATTGTCGGGAATGCGTTCATCAGTTTACAGAATTCATTCTCTAAACTGTGGAACGTTTTCCACAAATAAGAGACAAGTTTCCGCATTTTCATAAATGCGTTTATTTCCGTTATTTTTCATGATAAGTTTTCATTGGGTGGTGTAAAAATTCTTGTTTATATAAGAGAAATATTTTCTTCAATTGCACTTTTTCAAATAGAAATTTATTTGTAAACATAAAATTACGGTATAAGAACGCGGATGTTGTTCCGGAAGATTATTACCTTCCGTTTTCTACTGACGAACTGCGCACATTTATGATTTCACAAAAATGTTAGAGTTATTTTTATAATATTACACTTAATTAATCAATACTGTACTACCTCCAGCTTTTCTCAATACATGTACTATTTATCCAACAGACAAAAAATGAGACATTCAATGTTAGTCACTTGTTCGTTGTTGTTTTCTTTTTTATTTAAC